GTGTGTGTCTGGGGAGCGGGGCAGGGAAAGGGCGCGCCGGTGGAGTGGAACTGGCTGTCACACTCCCACTTCGCTGAGCCTTCGCCTCCGCGAAACCGTCTCACTTCACCGCGCAAAGGAGATACAGCGCTAAAAACGAATGAGGAATTTCGCAAGTGAGGCGCCCTGCACGGTATGAGCATATAGTAGGCGCTCAATAAATAGGTTGTGCAGCAAACTAAAAAGTGATCTGAGTTTCCTTGAACCGTCCAAGGTTCATTTATTCATTCAACGAATGAATTAAGCTCCTCTTCTGTACCAGACACTGCTCTGGCCACACTGAGGGAAACCAAGACGAGGGCGAGATCAAGGGAGGTTTCATGGAGGTGGGCACCGGGGTCGCAGAGAAACGTCCCCAAAATTAAGATCGAAAACTGACATCTAATGACACATCTCTGCGCCCGCGGAATGCCACTTCCGGTTCCCACCGCGGCGCCTGCGCGCTCGGCCCCGGGAACTCGGCCCGGCCGGCCTCGGAGCTTACCTCTTGCTGCGCGAGCAGCACCCTCCGCTCACGCTCTTTCTCCTCCTCCCGGGCTTGGGCCTCGTCACGCCGCACGCGGGCGACATTGTCCTTGTTCCGGACGTGCCAGCTCTTCTTAGGCAAGATATTCATGGCGTCCTGGCTGTCCACGAACTGGCTCTCCCGCCTCCTAGCACTTCCGATTGGCGACAGGACGCTCCCCTCCCTGTTGTCCCTTCCTCGGCCACAGATTGGTCCCAACTAGTTGGTACGCCTCCCTGGGTCTATAACAACGGACGATTGGCTGAGACGTCTTCCATCATAGCGAATGTCAGACGTTCAGCGCGTGGTATCGCCTAGACCGCCACTTAGCAGAGTTATGAGTCGATCAGAAGTGTCCCCGCCCCTGAATCTGCCAGTTCAGGCCGCCGATTGGCTGGCACGCCCGTCAAGAAGGGCGTGCCACACCGACTCACATGCCAATACATTTGATTGGCTCACTTCCTGCCGTAGCCCCGCCCTCGCTCTCTGGATGCAGAGTTCAAAGAGTGTGCAGCAGCTTCCGCCGTATTTATTGATACAGGAAAGAAGTTTACGAGATAATCACAGACTTGGGGTGGGGGTTCTGGAAATCTCCAGAGCTCAGGGATGGGAGGACGTGGAGACTTCTCCAGTTCTAGTTTAGAGATGACGTAACCGAGGGCCGGGGAAGCAGATCCGGAGTCGGAATGTAGGACCGGACCCTGGGCCAGGCTGGGAAGGTCAAAGAGCCCCATTGGCTGAGCTCAGCGCCACAGCGCGCTGTGCCAGGAAGACTTTATTCTGCACCTCCTGGGGTAAAGAGATGACAGTGAGACAGACAGTCTCTCCCCGATGTCCCTTTCCATGTCCCGGGAATCCCCACAGGCTGGTAGCGTGGCTCACCGTCTCTATCTGACGTTTGAGCTCAGAGATGATGCATCCATAGGAGTTGGCCAGAGCCACAGAATACGCCATCAGGATGCTAGAGGAGACAGAAACGGAACCACTCCTGAAACGCTCTTCGGTGATCGTCCACGTATGGCTTCTTGTGGACTCCCCAAATCCCTCTTCTTTCATACTCAAGGAGTGCAGTCTCCCAGCCCCCTCCTCCTCTTTCGGACCCGGCAGCCCAGGCCCCCAGCCCTCCTCTCTCAAACCCCAGAGTCTGGGCCCCCCAGCCCCTGAGCTCTTGGATGCTCCCAAATCACACACGTTCAAACTCAGACCCAGAAGTCTGAGCCGCCTCACCTGGAGATCAGCAGAAGGGGCACAGCAAAAGCCTGGGACCCCAGGAAGAAGAGAAAGTTCTGGGCGGTCTGAGGGAGGCTGGAAATAGACTCAGGGATCTGGGCCCAGATGGATGACTGTCCCCGGAATGGACCACACAGCTTAGAAGGCGGTATCCTGAAATCAGAGATTGGCTAGGCTCAAGTAGGGCCAGGTGTCTGAACACCGAATGAGGGCAGAGGGAGGGAATCAGGCAGGACCACCGCCCACTTACAGGAAGATGCTATAAAGCACAGGAACGGCGGAGATGGCCAGACCCAGGAGAAGGACCAAGGGGAAAAAGAAATTCGCTGTGGAGGCCCGGAAGGTGCGGGAGGCCGGGGAGCAGGTGGAGAAGAGGGTGAACTGGAGGAGGAGAGCGAGAGAAGAGGAGATCTGAGGCACAAGAACCTGAGCCTCCGGTCTCTCCTGTTTCCGGATTTGGGAGTCTGGGCTCCCACCTCATTTAGTTCCCAGGCGTCTGAGTCTTTCCATCCAACAGTCAGGATGCCCTAAGACCCCCCTTTTCTGCTGGGCGCGGTGGCTCAAGTCTGTCATCCCAGCACTTTGGGAGGCGGAGGCGAGAGGATTACCTGAGCCCAGGAGTTCGAGACCACCCTGAGCAACTTGGCAGGACCTCGTCTGTACAATAAAAAAAAAAAAAAAATTGCTGGGCATGGGGGCGCACGCCTGTAGTTCCAGCTGCTTGGAAGGTTGAGGCGGAAGGATCTCCTGAGCCAAGGCTGCGGTGGCCGGGAGCGTGCCACTGCACTCTAGCCTGGGCGACAGAGTGAGACTCCTGCTCAAAAATATAAAATATAAAAAATCAGCTGGGTGTGGGGGCACACACCTATAGTCCCAGCTATTCGGGAAGCTGAAGTGGACGGATCCCCTAAGCCCAGGAGGTTGAGGCTTCGGTGAGCTATGATTGCACCACTGCACTCCAGCCTGAGCAACAGAGTGAGGCCCTGACTCAAAACAAAACAAAAACACTCCTTTTCCCAGATCCAGGAGTCAGTCTTCCAACCCCATCCTCCCTTAGGACCTAGTAGTCTGGGTCTTCGACATCCTCCTTCCCCAGGACCCAAGACCAGACCCCAACACCTTCTGCCTCAGACCCAAGAGGCCTCCCTACCCCTTACCTTTTTCAGGAAGAAAAGCAGCAGGAACTTGGCTGTGTTAAGCAGAGGCAGTAAAGGGCAGAAAAAACTCCCCACCCAGACCACCGTCTGCGCGTAGATGAGCCCCAGCACCTCGTCGGGCACCTGGAATTCCTGGGTCCCCGCCAGACGACCCAGTGCCCCAGGACAGAGGCCACAGAACAACCTGAAGAGCGGGGCCGGGCCGAGTCAGGGGGCGTGGCTTCCCGGAGTTTCCCCGCCTCCACCGTCCCATCAACCAATAAGAAGCAAGCATGTCGGAAAGAGGGGCGGGACCTTCAAGATTACACATGGAGGTGGAGGGGGTGTGTCCAGAGGGCGGGGCCTGAGGACTAGAAGGGCCTGAGATATCCGGGAGTAAGGGCGGGGCCAGAGGGAAGTAACCACCTAAAATATGCAGGGGGCGGGGTCTGCGGACCTAGGGCATGGAAAGGAAGCAGAGACTGGAATAGAAAGAAGGGACCGAGATCGCGCCACCAAATATATAAATAAGAAGAAAAAGAATAAAGGGGGGCTGAGCGCGGTGGCTCACGCCTGTAATCCCAGCACTTCGGAAGGCCGAGGCGGGAGGATCGCTTGGGCCTGGGAGTTCGAGGCTAGCCTGGGCAACTTAGCTTTGTTTAAAAAAAAATAAAAAATAAAAAAATAAATCCTGGCGCAGTGACTCACTCCTGTAATCCCAGCACTTTGGGAGGTAGAGGTGATTGGATTGCCTGAGGCCGCGGGTTCGAGACCAGCCTGGGCAACATGGCGAGCCCTCGTCTCTACAATAAATAAAAAAAAAACTACCCAGGTGTGGTGGTGTGCTCCTGTAGTTTCAGCTACTCCAGAGGCTGAAGCAGAATGATCGCCTGAGCCCGGGAGGTTGAGGCTGGAGTAAGCCGTGGTGGTGCCACTGCACTCCAGCCTGGGCAACAGAGTGAGACTCTGACTTAAAAAAAAAAAAAAAGTAAAAAGGGAAGAGACCAGCACGATAGGGGCAGGGCCTGGTCCGGTAGGGGCGGGGACAGACCACGAGAGTGGCGGGGAGCTCTCACTTTCGAGGAAACTGGATAAGCAGCGTGACTGCCAAGCCAGTCAACAGATCAAAGAGCAAGAGTTTATACATCTCCTGGCCCAGCCGAGTCTCCCAGCACTGAAGAAGGAAGAAACAAACAGTTGAGAAGGACCTCAGCAACCGAGCACCTGGAGTCTCCCGATTGCAAGCCTGAGACTCTATACTTTCTCTGGGTCCCTGGATCCATACCCCTGGGAGGGTGTCCTAGCACCCTAAGCTCTTCCTTCCTCCCAAACCAAGAGTCCAGACCCACCCGGGCATCTCTCGCCATTCTCACCGGAAGCTCTTTGTAATTGTAGCCACAAGTTTTGCAGTCCTCAGCCTCGGAGTCGCCCCCACAGGTGATCTGATTCCAGAGAGAGAAGAGCAAGACCACCAGGGAGGAGAGGCGGAGAAACACGGTCCTGGCAAGGGGAAGGTGGGGAGAAGGAATCGAGGTTGACCCAGTGCTCACCGCGTTCCCAGTTCCCTTCTCAATGTAACGCGCTGGCAGTTCTCCCCATTTCAAAGATGAGGAAAGTGAGACGCAGTGACAGAATCAGGATTTGAATCAGATCCCTCTGGATCCGATATCCGTGGAATTTCCGTGTCTGTTTCTTTTTGTTTGTTTGTTTGTTTTGAGTTCGAATCTCACTCTGTTGCCCAGGCTGGAGCGCAATGGCACACCACACGGCCACCGCAGCCTCGACCTGCTGGGCTCAGGCAATCCTTCCGCCTCAGCCTTCCAAGTAGATTTCCATGTCTTACATGTCAGAGCCAACATCCCTCAGACCGCGTCCAACCCCCTCCCTCCATCCCCAGCCCACCCCTATGAGTTTGGAACCTCAGCAGGATAAAAACGATCTGGCGACTCCTAGTATAGCCCTCCAGGGGCGCAATGAGTTTGAAAATGGGCGGCAGCACAAAGTTGACCCCGGAGATGAAGATGGACGGGAGGTAATTCACCCCAAGCTGCAGCAGTGGCGTCTGCTGGACAACGGGCGTCTCCTGGGAGGGAGAGTGGACCAAGAGAAGAAGCTCTGGGGTCTTGCAGGAGCCAAGTTTAAGATCCTGACCCAGACATTTCTTCCTTCAGGATCCCGAAGTCCAGGATCCAAACATACCCCCCAATACCTGCTCTCTAAGATCCCGGGAATCCTAGACTTCCGTCCTCTCCCTCCTCTTTAGAAATGTAGGTTCCAGGGCCCTCCTGTCCCAAGACCCTCCGCACCTGCAGCTCCACGGTGTACCCTGTAGCCCAGTAGACGCCATAGAAGGCTGCCCCCAGAAGCGCGACCACCAGGAGGTTGAGCAGCAGCCGCACCGACCAAATCCTGACTTGCTGACCCAGCGTCCGCACCGCAGCCCGGCGGCGCACCTCGGCTTCCTCCAGCTCCACCTGAAGCCAGGAGACACGATCACTTGGCCTCCATTCCCCCAGGCCGGGACCCTTCAGAGATCCTTCTCAACTGAACTGCTGTAGCCCTCCCCCCACCCACCAACGACCTCTCCAGTCCTTGTTCCACTCCCTTCAGGGCGCTTCAGGAGACCCGCGCCCCTTGACAACCCGCCCATCCGAGGCCCCATACAGCACCCCAACCCCTAAACCTCCGCCGTCAATCCCGCCCCTCCGAGACTCCGCCCATCCTTCCAAGCCTCACCCTTACAGCCCAGCACCCTAAGCCCCGCCCGTTTGCAACCCCACCCAGCACCCCAAGTCCCGACCCTTTACAGCCTCGCCACCCCCTCCTCGGCCCTGCACTTCACCCCGGGCCTGAAATTCCACCTCAGCAGCATCAAGTCCCGCCCCTTGATAGCCACGTCCGCACTCACTCTGGCCAGAAACGCAGGCCCCGCCCACTTCACAGGTCCGCACAGGGCCCAGGCTCCGCCCATTTACAGCCCCCCTCAGCACCCAGGCCCCGCCCCAACCCAGCATTGCACTTCACGCGGGGCCTGAAGTTTCCGCTCACTGGCATCAACCCCCGCGCCTTTCTGGCCACGTCCATCATATTGCCTTGCCAGCACCCAGGTCCTCCCCCCAACAGCCCCACCCAGCATCCAGGCCCCACCCTTCCACTAAGCTCTGCTCATCACGCCTGGCCTGAAGTTCCAGCTCAAGGGCATTAAGCCCCGCCCCTCTATGGCCACGCCCATCACCTACCTAGCCGGCAGCCCGGACCTCGCCCCTTCACAGCTCCGCCCAGTATCCAGCCCTACCTCAGAAGTCCCACCCTCTAACTCAGCCCTGCACTACGTACCTAACCTGAAGTTCCAGCTCGTTGGCATCAAGCCCCGCCCTTTCTGGCAACGCTCACCACTTAACCTTGCCAGCGGCCCAGGCCTTACACCGCCCAACACCCAGGCCCCGCCCCTCAGACGCCCCGCCCTCTGGCCCAGCCCTGCATTTCAGGCCTGGCCGGAAGTTCCCGTTCAGCGGCATCAAGCCCCGCCCCTTCTGGCCCCGCCCACACCTAACCTTGCTGTAGGCCCCACCCACTTCTTGCTGCTGACTTTCTTCTGCACCCTTGGACCCCTGGCATCCCTAAGGTGGCCTCCTCGCGACCGTCTCAATACCCAAGACCCGCCTTTCCTAGGAGAAAGCTCCACCCAGCGCCTCTCCGCGAAGCCCCGTCGCTGGGCCAGGCCATGTGCACGATCTCAGTCCGATCCTGCCCGGTCCGATCTTGTTGTAGACACCGTCCTCTAAGCGCACCTGTAATTCGTACAGGATGAGGCGCTGGCGCAGCCGCACGTGGCCGTCCCCGCGGAGGCCGAAGTCCCAGGCCGAGAACACCCGGTGGCTGTAGCTGGTCAGGGCCCCCGATTCCGCCAACAATGTCTGCTTCAGCCCCGACACCGAGCTGAGAGAGGGGAGACCGGGGAGACAGGGGGTGGAAGGACAGCCACGAGAGGGGAGAGGGGGCACCCCTCTTACCCGACAAACAAGGAAAGTGAACATTTGGCATTTGGCGAGCTGCCATCTGCTGGAGAAAGAGTCAAAGAGGCCGGGCGCGGTGGCTCAACATGTAATCCCAGCACTTTGGGAGGCCGAGGCGAGAGGATTGCCTGAGCCTGGGGGTTTGAGACCAGCCTGGGCAAATTGGTGAGACCTCGTTTCTACAATAAATCACTCACTCACACACACACACACACACACACACACACACACACACACACACACACATACACACACACACACACAATTAGCTGGATGTGGTGGCGTGCGTCTGTGGTTCCAGCTACTTGGAAGGTTGAAGCAGAAGGATCACCTAAACCCAACAGGTCGAGGCTGTGGTGGCTGTGAGTGTGCCACTGCACTCCAACCTGGGTGACAGAGTGAGATTCCGACTCAAAAACAAAAACAAAAAAACGCCTGGCTCGATGGCTCAGCCTGTAATCCCGCGCCTTTGGGAGGCTGAGGTGAGGGGATTGCCTGAGCCCGCGGGTTCGAGACCCACCTGGGCAACTTGGTGAGACCTCATCTCTACAATAAATCAAAAATTAGCCGGGCGTGGTAGCGCACGCCTGTAGTTCCAGCTACTTGGAAGGCTGAGGCAGAAGGATCACCTAAACCCAACAGGTCGAGGCTGTGGTGGCTGTGAGTGTGCCACTGCACTCCAACCTGGGTGACAGAGTGAGATTCCGACTCAAAAACAAAAACAAAAAAACGCCTGGCTCGATGGCTCAGCCTGTAATCCCGCGCCTTTGGGAGGCTGAGGTGAGGGGATTGCCTGAGCCCGCGGGTTCGAGACCCACCTGGGCAACTTGGTGAGACCTCATCTCTACAATAAATCAAAAATTAGCCGGGCGTGGTAGCGCACGCCTGTAGTTCCAGCTACTTGGAAGGCTGAGGCAGAAGGATCACCTAAACCCAACAGGTCGAGGCTGTGGTGGCTGTGAGTGTGCCACTGCACTCCAACCTGGGTGACAGAGTGAGATTCCGACTCAAAAACAAAAACAAAAAAACGCCTGGCTCGATGGCTCAGCCTGTAATCCCGCGCCTTTGGGAGGCTGAGGTGAGGGGATTGCCTGAGCCCGCGGGTTCGAGACCCACCTGGGCAACTTGGTGAGACCTCATCTCTACAATAAATCAAAAATTAGCCGGGCGTGGTAGCGCACGCCTGTAGTTCCAGCTACTTGGAAGGCTGAGGCAGAAGGATCACCTAAACCCAACAGGTCGAGGCTGTGGTGGCTGTGAGTGTGCCACTGCACTCCAACCTGGGTGACAGAGTGAGATTCCGACTCAAAAACAAAAACAAAAAAACGCCTGGCTCGATGGCTCAGCCTGTAATCCCGCGCCTTTGGGAGGCTGAGGTGAGGGGATTGCCTGAGCCCGCGGGTTCGAGACCCACCTGGGCAACTTGGTGAGACCTCATCTCTACAATAAATCAAAAATTAGCCGGGCGTGGTAGCGCACGCCTGTAGTTCCAGCTACTTGGAAGGCTGAGGCAGAAGGATCACCTAAACCCAACAGGTCGAGGCTGTGGTGGCTGTGAGTGTGCCACTGCACTCCAACCTGGGTGACAGAGTGAGATTCCGACTCAAAAACAAAAACAAAAAAACGCCTGGCTCGATGGCTCAGCCTGTAATCCCGCGCCTTTGGGAGGCTGAGGTGAGTGGATTGCCTGAGCCCGCGGGTTCGAGACCCGCCTGGGCAGCGAGACCTCATCTCTACAATAAATCAAAAAATCAGCCGGGCGTGGTGGCGCATGCCTGTAATTCCGGCTACTTGGAAGGCTGAGGCGGAAGGATCACCGGAGTCCAGCAGGTCGAGGCTGCGGTGGCCGGGAGCAGCCACTGCACTCCAGTCCGGGCAACAGAGTGAGACTCCAACTCAAAAAAAAAAAAAGTCAAAGAGACAGACACATACCAGTTGACTGAAGCCAAAGTCCAAGAAAGATTCAGAGACAGACCTGGGAGAGAGACAGAAACCTAGGCAGTAGGACAGGGCTGCAGAGAGAAGGGAGCAGGGACCAGAGTGAGAGGGACAGAGACCCTGGGAAAAGACAGAGAAAGAGAGGCAAAGACTCATTGAGAAAGTAGAAAAGGGGCGGCCCGATGGCTCATGCCTGTAACCCCAGCACTTTGGGAGGCAAGAGGATTGCCTGAGCCTACGAGTTTGAGACCAGCCTGGGCAACTTGGCGAGTCCTCATCTCTATAATGAATTTTAAAATAAAATTAGCTACGCATGGTGGCACACACCTGGAGTTCCAGCTACTTGGAAGGCTGAGGCAAAAAGATTACCTGAACCCAGCAGGTCGAGGCTGCAGTAGCCATGAGTGTGCCACTGCACTCCAGCCTGGGTGACAGACTGACTAAAAAAAAAAAAAAAAAAAAAAAGAGAGAGAAAAGAAACCTAGAAGGGGGGTGGTCAAAGACTCAGAGAGAAGGACAGACACCCAGAGAAGTGGGTTGGGGGAGAAAGATTCAGGAAGGAGACAGAGACCTAGGGAGAGACCAGCATCCCAGAGAAAGGGACTGGAACAGAGCTAACTGGACACGGAGACCATGCCTGCCTTCACTGCCCTGAACCACATAGTGCCCTTGGTGACACCTATGCCCTTAAAATCCATTCTCTGTTCTTCAGCCAGTGAGACCTTCTTTGGATGCAAATCAACTTATGTCCCCCTGTCTAAAACCTATTCCACAGCTTCTCCCTGCTCTGTTTTTTTGTTTGTTTGGGTTTTTTTTTTTTTTTTTTTTTTTTTTGAGTCAGAGGCTCACTCTGTTGCCCAGGCTGGAGTGAAGTGGCATGCTCATGGCCACCACAGCCTTGACCTGTTTGGTTCAGACACCTGGATAATGTTTTTACTTACTGAGGAGATGAGGTCTCGCCAAGTTGCCCAGGCTGGTCTCTAACCTGTGGACTCACGCAATTCTCTAGACTCCCCCTCCCAAAGTGCTGGGATGACAGGTGTGAGCCACTGTGCCTGGCCTACACATGTTATTTTATTTTATTTTTTTTAGTCAGAGTCTCACCCTGTCGCCCAGGTTAGAGTGCAGTGGCATGCTCATGGCCACCACAGCCTTGACCTGCTGGGCTCAGGCGATTCTTCCGTTTCAGCCTTTCAAGTAGCTGGAACCACAAGCATATGCCACCACACCCGGCTTAATTTTTGAATTAGTGTAAAGACAAGGTCTCACCAAGTTGCCCAGGCTGGTCTCGAACCCCTGGATTCAGGCAATCCCCTCTTCTCTGCCTCCCAGAGTGCTGGGATGACAGACGTGAGCCACCGCGCCCGCCTACACACGTGATTTTAACTCACACAGAGGTAAGGGCCACAGGGCAAGGTCAGCTTCTTGGGAAGGGGGCTTCTGCCACCACGCTCACCACCCTCTCCACGTCCGAGGAGGAGTCGGGGCTGCGGGGTGTCACTGACCGATGCAGGATGAGCAGGAGACAGATGAGACCGACGGCAAAGGCCGAGCACAGGTAGGTGACGGCCAGGCGCGGGCGGGGCGGGTAGAAGCCGTAGAAGAGAGGTGACCATTCCAGGTAACCCTGGGAGGGGAGGGCGGAGTGGGGTCATCGTGGGGAGTAGGCAAGGCTCAGGGATCTCGAGGCCAGGGCGTGGGTGCAATCACGGAGGGCGGCAGGGTCGGGAGCTCCGGCGGCGGGCACCTACTTCTCCCGAGAGCAGATAGAAGAGCTGGGCGGGGAAGGTGACCAGGCCCTGGGAGTAGGGGTGGTAGGAGCCGCAGGGCGAGGAGGTGTCGGGGTCGGGAGGGCCCGGGGGGGCCCCTTCCAGCCAGGTGGGCAGCAGCACCATGCAGGCGTTCAGCACCGAGGCCAGCGCGTTGAGGAGGAGCAGGAAGCGCAGCAGCGAGAAGTAGGACTCCGTGCCGGCGCCAAACTGGCCTGCAGGGGACAGCAGAGAGGCCGCGAGTCTTCGCACTCCAACCTCCTCCCTCGGACCCGGTAGTCTAGGCCCCCAGCCCCTCCTCCCTTAGATCTAGGACTCCAACTCCCCCTCCTCCCTCAGACCCAGGAGTCCAGGTTCCCAGCCCTCCTTCCTCAGACCGAGTCCAGTTCCCAGCCCCTCCTCCCTCAGACCCGGGAGTCCAAGCCCCCAGCCCTCCTCCCTCAGACCCGGAAGTACCGTTCCCAGCCCTCTTCCCTCAGACAGAAAGTACAGTTCCCAACCCTCCTCCCTCAGACACAGAAATCCAAACCTCTATCTCTTCCTCCTCCCACAGAACCTGGAGTCCAGACCCCGCCCCTAGCACACCACCTCCGACAGCACCCACCCCCGATCCTCTTCAGCGTCCATGCCCAGGGCTGCAGGGCGTGCAGGTTCGCCCTCATCTTCTCTTTGGACCTCCGGAGCAGCACGGCCCACTGAGCTGCCCTAGATCCAGACCCGTAGGCCACTTGGTCTCTAGCGTGGCTCTCCCTGGGAGGGAAACAGAGGCAGAGAAGTGAGGGGCTTAGCAGCCCCAAACTGGGAATCACCCAAATGTAGAAACAACCCAACAACAAAAGGGGAAGCAAATTATGACCTATTCACAACATGGAATACTCTGTAGCAATAAAAAAAAGAAACAAATCCGACTATCGCAGAAGCAGCCAAGCACAAAAGAATACAGACTGCACTATTCTATTTACACAGAGTTGCAGAGTGAGCACAAGAAACACCACTGTAGCCTGGCGCAGTGGTTCATGCCTGTCATCCCAGCACTTTGGGAGGCAGAGGGGAGAGAACTGCCTGAGCCCAGAGGTTCGAGACCAGCCTGGGCAACTTGGCAAGACCTCGTCTGTCTCTACAATAAATCAAAAAATTAGCTGGGCCTGGTGGCGCACACCTGTGGTTCCAACTACTTGGAAGGCTGAAGCAGAAGGATCACCTGAGCCCGGCACTGAGCCCGGCAGGTCGAGGCTGCAGTGGCTGTGAGCATGCCACTGCACGCAACCTGGGCGACAGAGTGAGACTCCTACTAAAAAAAAAAAAGAAAAAGAAAAGAAAAGAGAGGCCACTTTGGAAGGATGCACACGGGGCGAAGCTATTATATAAAGAAAAGCAGGCTGAGCATGGCAGCTCACACCTGTAATCCCAGAGCTTTGGGAGGCTGAGATGGGAGGATCGTTTGAGCCCAGGAGTTTGAGACCAGCCTGGGCCACATAGCGAGACCTCATCTCTACAAAAAATAATAAGTATATATATTTTAAAAAGCCAGATCTGTGCCATTACCTGGGATGCTGAGGTGGAAGGATGACCTGAGCTCAGGAGGTCGAGGCTGCAGTGAGCCACGTTCATGCCACTGCTCTCCAGTGACAGAGTGAGACCCTGGCTCAGAAAAAGAGAGTCCCAGCCCTCCTCCCTCAGACCCGGACTTTATTGGAGCTCTCACTCTATGAACACCAGATGTCCCTTGGTGTTCAGGGGGCACTGATTCCAGGACCCCCTGAGGATAACGAAACCCTTTTATAAGATGGCATAGTAGTTGCCGGGCTCGGTGGCTCAGCCTGTAATCCTGCACCTTGGGAAGCCGAAGTGAGTGGATTGCCTGAGACCACGAGTTCAAGACCTGCCTGGGCAACTTGGCGAGACCTCATCTCTACAATAAATCAAAAAATTAGCTGGGCATGGTAGTGCGCGCCTGTAGTTCCCGCTACTTGGAAGGCTGAGGTGGAAGGATCGCCACAGCTCAGTGGGTCTAGACTGCGGTGGCCAGGAGCGGCCACTGCACTACAGTCTGGGCAACAGAGTGAGACTCCAACT